CCCTCAATTAAGGTTTAGGGTTTAGGGTTTAGGGTTTAGGGTTTATTTATGGTTTAGCCTTACTAAGTCCTAACTCCGGGCTTCAGGGATCCCTAAATCCTACATTGGAGCCTCCAATGTAGTTCGAAGTGGGCTTCTTGTCCAATAAGGAACGACATCTGAGGGCCCTAGTAAATCCTTAAACGTTTAGTCGCGAAATAAACAAATGTAGAAGATGGTGTAAGTGTTATGCCCCCCACTTAGGGTGTATGAGCGTGCTTGCTAACCCTGAGGCTCAAAAGCCTAAAATCCTTACCTAGTATGGTCTTTGGGCCCAAAGGCCTTAAAATATGAGTCCTTAGTAGGGCCTTAGGGTAAATCTTCGCAGTGCGATGCAGGACCCAAAGTGGCTGCGGCTCCAGAAGGCCTGACACCGGAAGAAATTGAATCGTGAGTTAGTAGGGTTTAGGGTTTAGGGTCACTGATCGGTTTAGGGTTTAGGGTTTAGTGGGACTTAGTAACTAGGGTTATAAATAAGGTAACTATAGTTGTAACCCCAATTAGGGTACTTATAACCTTATTTACTAAGTCCCATGATCCTCCAAGCATACTTTCGCTGATCCTATATCCTGGTATCCGCTGGGTTCTCAGCCGCTTCCGGCATCCGAACCTGGTGATCCTGATGAGCTTCGCTGATAATGAGCATTTGTGGAGCTTATGTCTCATCAGACTATGTTGTATCGCTTACAGCAAATTAAAGGCATGGTGTGTTATCATACCATGTCATACTATGCTCCTCTGTAGTAATTATGCGTGCAAGATCGTAGCATGTCCTCTTGCCTGAAGGCTTTCAACTAGTCTGTTTTCTCCTAGGAACCCTAAACCCTAGGCCCTACACCCCTGGGAAGCAGTAAGAGGCTCGACATCCAAGGTTTGTTCGACTGCACGCTTCAAACTGTGAAGCTTCTCACACCCGCAGGCTCTGCTCTTTCCAATATTGCAGGATAATGTATTTGAATAAGCACCCAAAAAATTTGGGGGGCTCCCTATGACTAGTAGAATTCTAGTATCATGGGCGACAAAGCCCTATTCTAATTATCAAGGCCCCTACAGTACGCCTCTATAAGTTCGTTGGTACTCCCAGAGAGCCCAATACCCCTTAAACGAGGAATAGACCTTAGGTTATAGGGGCCTTAGATATTATGATTTACGGTATATTACTTAATCAAGGGCCCTAAACCCTAAACCCTAAACACCTAAATCCCTAACACCCTAAACCTTGAGCCCTCCTTAATTACGGGGTATTGGGGTTTCTGGGCCTGCCGGAAGCTCCACCCACAGTCCGGAGAACGCCAGGAAGTGGAGACGAAACCACGCCGCAAAGACGGCGGGCACCTCAAACTCCCCAGTGAGCCCAACTGACCCCTGAATTCAGGAATATACCTTAAATCACGATATTGAGGCCCTTAAGATTTAAGGTATATTCCTTATTTAAGGGGTATTGGGCTCTCTGGGTCTGTCCTTTGAGGGTTGACGGCTGAAGCGAAGGGTTTGGGTTTATGGTTGCGAGTGTTTTGGGGGTTTGGGGAGCTCACTGGATTACCAGGACACCGGACATGGCACTAGGAATGTTTCAGCAGCTCGCCACGTGAATCTAAAGCAAGATTGACGAACAGGCTGGTCTGGGATAAGCCTGCTTCATTTGAGGTCTCCGTCAGCAACTGAATCATGACAACGAAGATATGTGAGGTCATGAAGGCAATAAGAGTCTCAGTTGAGTGGACGTGATAAATCTGGGACATTTTCAGGTGGGTAGTTACCGTTATAGGAGCCTTATAGAAGGTCTATATACCTTATAGAAGCCTTATAGAAGCCCTATTATACCCTAAACTCCCCACCTGTAGTTTCCTAAACCCTAAACCCGAAACCCTAAACCCTAAACCCTAAACTGCCCACCTGTAGTTTCCGTTAGATAAAGGTTATCAAGAAGTTGACCTTTTCTCCGTTGCTCTTTGTAGGGTATTTTCCTCAACTTGGAGTGCAGTCTTCTTGGCCCTTGGCTTTGTGGGATCCTTAAGGGAGGGGGTTCTAAGAGGGGTATATAAGCCAATAATCCCCAATTCTCCCTAGGGCTCCTTGGGGACCCTCCCTTAAGGATCCGGTAATTGCTGGGAGCTAATTTTGTTTGCGCTCTGAAATTGGGTAGGCCCCAGTTGTTCCGTCGGACTCAAGAGCAGGAAGAAGAGCCGTCATTGCAACGACGACATCGTATATATATATATATACATACACACACATGTGTAGATATACACATATGTATCTATATATATATATATACATATATATATATATACGTGTACATTCCTGTAATTATATACTTATGTGTGTATATATATATATATATATGCACAGTTATGTATGTTTACACAGGTATATAGAGTCATGTGCAATGCTAATCTGTTCAAGCCCAACGGAACCCTTTTTAGAGCCTAAGGCGACGAGGAGGAGGAAGAGAAGAAGGAGGCCGAACCTTACGTGGCCGTTGCCTCGGACTTGTCGAGACATGCCATATGTGCGTGCAGGGTTTGGGACTCAGGTTTTACGTAAGTGATCATGTTTTTGTGTGTATATGTATGTATGTATGTATGCATGTATGTATGTATGGGTGTGCATATATACTGTTGTATAGATATACATGTGTATAAGCGTAAACAGACTGATGGATAAATAGACAGATAGATGGACAGACAGGTAGGCAGATAGACAGAGGGGCAGAGATACAGAGACACGGAGAGACAGATAGATAGATACATAGAATGTTGGTAGATAGATAGAGGCAGATAGATAGAACGTCAGTTCGGTAGGGATGCAGCTGCACTCGTGGTTGCTGTGTGCATCGACATTGTATGTATTCATGTCTTTGTGTATGTTTATGGATCGATCGAAAGATCGAACGTTAGATGGATAGATAGATGGATAGATAGATAAAAGGATAGACAGATAGATATAGGCATTTCCATATATCTTTATATATGTATGTTAATATATATATATATAGATAGATAGATAGAGAGAGAGAGAGACAGAAAGTGTCTGTGTGTGTGTTTGTTTGTTTTTGTGTAGGATATAGATGCTGGTTGGTTCCATGGCATCCTATGTGTTTCAAGCTCTTGTATGAGAGGCATCCCATACTTGAAATGTGGGCTGGGGTTGGTTGGTTAGGTTTCGCGGTTTGTAAGTCTTATGCTTCGGGTATTTGGGTTTCGTGGTGTTTTGAATCAGTGGAAGTGAAGGATTAGCAAGGAGTTTTGGGTCATAGGTGATGGGGGTTCCACTAACCCCCCGCGAATACCCATGGCTCGAAGCAAAGACAGGTTTCAGCCTCTTTGGTATTTCTGCTCAGCACGTGATGGCGCTGGCCTTTCTGAATCCACTCGGCTTTGCCTTGTTCCGACTCCTCACCTCGCAGCCAGGCGAGAACGTCCTCGTCTCTCCGACATCCATCTCGGGATGCCTGTCCATGGTCGCAGCTGGATCTACAGAGGGCTCTGCCACGGAAACTGGGCTTTGGAGGACCATACTTTAATACTTTTTTTGGGGGACCTGTTCCTGAAAGGAACAATTATGAAATAAAAGTCTATTTTTTTTTCTCCCTGGTTACTTCAAAGCCCAGGAACAGGAGCTGGCGACCTTGCTAAACGGTCTCCTGCCAGGCTTGCCTGCAGACAGCGCGGTGGAAATGAACAACTCCGCCTGGGTTCGCATGTGGGGGGTTGCAGAAAAATACTATCGGGGCCTAAACAATTACATTTATCATTTTGGGGTTTCCCTATTATGCTTATAGTAGAATGGGCCCCAACACCCTATTCTATTCTAATTATTAATTAAGGCTTCTACATTAAGGCTACAAGGGACATTAAGGAGCCCTTGAATCGGCTAGAACTCCAGAGAGACCTTTGTACCTAAAGCATACTGAAGAGAATCATGAGTTAGAGAGCTCTAAAGAGTGTAGGAATCTTATTCTCCGGACCCCTACATATCCTAAACCCTGAACCGTAAATTCTAAACCCTAACCCCTAAACCCCCAAACCCTAAACCCTAAACCCTAAACCCTAAAACAATTTCAACTGCGAGGATGGTTCGGCCAGACTTCGTAGAGGCCGTTCAGAGAAACTTCCGCGCGGAGGCCCACGAGCTTCGAAGCACGGATCCGCAGCCCATCAACGAGTCTTGGTCCTTCTACGGTTTAGGTTTTAGGGTTTAGGGTTTAGGGTTTAGAAAAGGGAATCTAAAGACTGCTATGAGGGTACTAAACTTGGAGGATCATGGGACTTGGTAAGTAAGGGTTTAGGGTTTAGGGTTTAGGGTTTAGGGTTTAGGGTTTAGGGTTTAGTAAGTAAGGTTATAAGTACCCTAATTGGGGTTATAATCATACTTACCTTATTTATAACCCCAAGTTACTAAGTCCCATGATCCTCCAAGTAGATTGGGGTACTTATAACCTTATACCTTCTAAGTCCCATGATCCTGCAAGTAGGTTATAAGGCTGCTATCAAACTACCATAAAAAGAAAAGGGAAAGGATCCTTGTCATGGATGTTTTTGTAATGCCGTGAGGGAACGCAATCTATAAGAAGCAAACAGGATCTTTAATCTTGACCCAGGTCTAGGACATTTTCAGGTGGGTAGTTACCGTTATAGGAGCCTTATAGAAGGTCTATATACCTTATAGAAGCCTTATAGAAGCCCTATTTACCCTAAACTCCCCACCTGTAGTTTCCTTTAACCAGGCGTGGGTAAAGGAGAAGAGTCTGGGACGCATCCCAAGTCTCTTCGACAAACCCTTGGATCCCTACGCTGTGATGGTGCTCGTCAACACGGTCTTCTTCAGGGGCTCTTGGGCCTCACTCTTTGATCCGACGCTTACCCAGAAGGCACAGTTCAAGGGCTTCTCGTCGCTCCTTCCCTGCGACATGATGTACCTGGGCTTTAAATTTGGAGTACCCCCTAAGGCTCTTGGGGGTTTATGGG